CTCCTACCTCACAGGAAAACAGTAAATGATAATAGGCTTTTTGCTTAAGGGGGAAGGCCAAAAAAAAAAGGAGGGGGGGGAGGGCAGTTTGTGTGACAGAGGGGATAACTGATATTTTTAACTATAAGCCCACATTAACATTTTAAGTCTTAAAGAATAGAAAACGTAGTTGACTTCAATCATAGTCTATTTGGCTATTATAACCCTTTATAGGCTGGGTGGTTTAGTGACTTATAAATACTCTGGACACTGGGAAGTCCAAGGTCAGAGCACCAGCACATTCCATGTCTGGTGATGAACCATTTCCTGTTCTTCAATGTCTGTCTTTTCACTGTGTCCTTACTTGGCAGAGGGTCAAGGGAGCTCTCTGCAGTCTTTTTTATAAGAGCACTAAATCCATTCATGAGGATTCTACCTTCACTACCTAATCACCTTCCAAAGGTCTTACTTACTTCCTGTTACCATCACTTGTGGTCTTAGGTTTTAACATACGAGTTTTCAGGGATACATTCAGTCGGTGGTAACCTCTCTACTCTTAACCCAGTTTTTGGAATTGAGATGTGGATTGCAGAGAGGGAGATGGGAAAGGGGTTGAGGTGAGCACCCAGTGAAATTGTGGCCCTTCGCCACTGGCTCCCCATCAATGCTGTAAACTAGGCAAGGGAACTATTATTAGCTCCATTTTATAGATGAAAAGCACAAATGAAAAGAGAGTAAATGACGTGCTCAAGCCAATCTTTGGCAAAATCAGATGTTGTCCCAGAAGCTCAAGTCTCTTTCTCTTCTCATTCTTATCCTCCTAAGCCCTGCGGTGAGAATATTGTTATTGTTAGTTTTCCATCTTAAGTTTCATATCATTTCTGTGAAATAATTGTTCTGACAATGCATGGTTTGCATTTTAGGCGCCGAAGGCCTGAAACTCAGTGAGGTAAGGAGCTTCAGCTTAAAACAAAGGACATTGGCCCTAACCGGTTTGGCTCAGTGGATAGAGCTCAGTCAGCCTTCGGACTGAAGGGTCCCAGGTTCAATTCTGGTCAAATGCATGTACCTTGGTTGCAGGCACATCCCAGTAGGGAGTGTGCAGAAAGCAGCTGAATCGGTGTCTCTCTCATCAATGTTTCTAACTCTCTATCCCTATCCCTTCCTCTCAGTAAAAAAAAAAAAAAAGGACTTTATTGCCCTTCCTACCACAGGATAGAACACGGTCCCACCCACTCCTCTCAATAGCTGTAAATGCATAATTATGAGTTCTATTACAGGAAACTTTTTTTATAGAGGTTCCCAATGAAAAATCAATAGTACAATCACATGGCAATAGATGCAATGCAAGGCAGTGTTATTGACCAGCATTAATCATTGCAGAGTCGTAAAAAGATGCTATATGCTTACCTCCCTGGTGCGCGCTAGCTTGCTTTACAGAGAGGGGAAGTATGATTCCTGCACTCCACCCTCTGAGTCTAACCAGGGAATCCACTGAGATCAGAAGCTGAGCTTGACACCACTGTGGCTGTCAGCTACTAAAATCAGACCCATTTTCAGCCCACTCCCCCTTCTCCTGGGCCTAAGCCACTGAGATCCCTTCAGCCCTTGGGATGGCAAGAGGCAGGCATTAATGTCTGTCAGTATCTCCCCTTAAAGGCCAGATGGAGCAGAATATGAGACTACAGAAAGGGAGGCATATCTTGACCACAAGCAGATATCATTTCTGTTTCTCTGTCTTGAAAACATCAGTGTCACAGTCCGTGCTCAGTCTCGTGAGCTGGAGAGATGTTCTCTGGAGCAGGCTGCCTGTATTTGCTTCTGTGCTCTGTGTGGCCCCCAAGTATGTTATTTAAGCCTTTACGTCTCATTTTTAACATCCATAAATTGGGAATAATTAATAACAGCACCACCACTACAAAGGGTTATTGTCAGGAGCTCTTACAGGAGAACCTGAGAGTAAGTATAAAATCATTGTTTTCTTTTTCTGTCTACACAACATCTGTTAGCCTGGAACATGGTCCAAACGACTTAGATCACTTAAAACAAGGCAACCATTAACATCACTTCCAGCTCCAGGCTTTCCTAATTCTGTGTCCAACCTAGAATACGTCCCCAAGTGTGGTCTATGGGCTGGAAGCTTGTTAGAAATGCAGTTCTCAGGCTCTTCCCTGGTCTTACTATGTCCATTTCTTTGGGTGGGCCCAGAATTCTGTGATTTAATGTGCTCTCCAGATGATGTTTAAATTTGGAGAAGGATGTCTCAGAATTTCCTCTTTATTGGGAAGCTTCAAGCCAGGTGCCACTTCCAGGAACCCCAATGATGGAGCTGTGGTGGTCACAGTGATGGTGGCAACCAAATCTCCTCATGGTTCCCTCTGACCTGGGCACTAGTTGGAAACAGAGCATTGGAGGAACTGTTAAGGATACTTAGAATGATTTGAGTCCTGGCCAGTGCAATTCCAAAGATTTCAATTGGGCTAAGTTTTAGCCTATTTTCATATTACTTGACCTTAGATCCAATTTCCACCTACCATCCCCTATTTTCACTCCAAATGAGTCTGTAAACTACAGATTGTAGCTTTGTGATTTGGGACCTTGAAAGATGGTTTCCAGCTGCATCTTTTACATTTGAATCCAGCTAGTCTCATAAAGCAAACTTGAGGAGCTCATTCTTTGAAATAAAGATATTATTAGGAAATGAAATGAAAATGTTTCCGAAATTCAGGATATTACAGTGAGTAAGCACCGAGGATGTCTGAAGAAGAGAGGGGACTGATAGACTTCAGCATGTACCTCTCACCCTCTCCCATGCCTTGTCCCTAGTCATCTACTCATCTCCAGGATGCTTCCCCCTGTAGGATCGACCAACACAAGTACAATATGCAACTTTTTTAAAATGAACTTCTTTGATCCTTAGGGCATATCTCCTTTTACTTATTTTTTGGGGCCAACAGTGCAACAATTATTTTTTCCATCTTTTTCTTCATGCTGAAATCTTTGGGGTATTAGTTAACGCATGACCTTCTGATGCATTATGAAGTCTTTTGGATCTGCTTCATAGAGTCGCCCTATTGTAGCAACACAATCCAGTTCATGTTCTTATCACCGTGTGGCCTGATGGCTTCCGTGACCTCTTGGCTGTCCCCTTAATGGACCAGCCTATTCCTTCCTCTGCAGGCACTCCCACTGACACAGCAACACCCCTCAACGACTTTCTTCCCACCATGTTGTTCATGCCTTTGGCAAAGAACCTACTCCGCCTTTATTTTGTCTGTTCTCTCTACCCAGCCTCCAGCTCTTTGCTCACACTGCCTCCCACATTTCAAGAGACTTCTCCATATTTGTTTTTCAGTTCCAGGAAATCAGTGTGGTATACTCATCACTCCACTTCTTAGCATCCTCCCCGTTCTCCCGACAATCCACTTCACCCATCGAATGTTTTTCTTTCTCCCTCTGTTTGTCCTCAACTCTCGTTTCAGAACCCTTACTGGAGCTGGTCCGGAGGTAGTGAGTTATCACAAATGGTTGTACACAGTCAGAACCCTTACTGAACATTCCCTCTAAGTCCCCTCTAACCTCAGAGGTACTGCTACTGCTGTCCCTCCACTCTGATGTGTATGTTGCTTTGCAACGAGCCCCAGGATTTTTGTAACATAGGTTTTCTTTTGGATCGTTGACTGCTGAAGACCAGCGGCAGCAGAGAATTTTCCATTTCCTTTGTTAATGCTTCACTCGGGGCCCAGCCCAGAGTGCAAGGCTGATAAAATGTCCAGCATAAAATGGGCGCTCATGACATATTGTTCACCGATTACAAAAAGGTTTGTGGGGTCCACCCAGAGACACCCAGAGGGGAAGACGCAGTTGGGATCCCCCTAAGTGAAGCATGGTTTAGGGAGCTCTAATGAGACCCAATTGGAAACCCTCTTGCTGTTTGCCTGTTTCGTGTGAATGGTAAAAGCTGGTATGGGGAAAAAATCAGGCAAACTGGCTTTTTGGACTGCGGCACGCTTCTCTTCTGCTGTGAGTGCTCGCCTGGTTTGCATTACGATTTCCTTCCTTGCTGGAAGACTGCACAGACTTTCTCCCTTTCTTTGGAAGAAGTGGGACCTGTTGGAAAGTGAGGCTCTGGGATTCAAATGCAGGGGTCTTGGCCGTGGCGCTCTGTGGTGCATTTCTTGACAAGTCCTGAAAAGACTATTGAATTCTGGCCTGTGCTTTTCTCTGCAGCGTTTGGATGGGTTTCAGCTGCAGTGTTTGGCTGGATAGAGTAATCGAAATGGATTTTTTTTTTTCCTTCCTCAGTAATCTTAGGTTACAGTTTCATCTTGTACCGTGAAAACGGAGTATTTTTCTACCACGCAAGTACTTTTGAGTGAGCCGGAATCATGGCTCCCTCACAAGCAAACAACCTGTCTTTTGAAATTACATGCAAACAGGTGAAAATACAAGCTGGTAGTGCTATCCTCAGAGGAACACTGGGCAGGCATTTGGAGAGTTTGCAAGAGGATACCAAGTTACATTCATCTTTTTATTTTTTTTCTTTTAATTAAATGCAGGCATTTTGGAGGGACTTTTACTTAGTGGAAAAAAATCCTCTTTTTTTTCATAGATTAAAGCACTATCTGTAGGCACCGCTGGAAGATCACTAGCTGTGCATGTGCAGTGGGCGGGGGTGGGGGAAAGGCTGATGCTTTGTAAGCGCCTATCGTTCTCTGTGCTCTTCAAAGGGCGGCCGGCCTTTGAACCCGCTCCTATCTAGCATTCTAGCTTTAATTATCAGATTAGCCTGCATTTCCCCCCTTGTGATTACGGAGGAGAGAAGCTGGAAGTGTGTTTATTATTCTGCAACATACTTGACATGGTCCCATCCCAACTGTTTTAATTTGGTTCTGGAAATGAGAGCTGGTGAAATTACAGACTTCTTCAAGCCAAGGGAAGGAAATGAGTAAATCAAGGGAACAGTGCCACTGAGTGACAAGGCGAAAATGGCTAAACAACCGTGGAATTGTGCCTTTCAGGGTCCCTGCAGGTGATGAACAAAACGAGAAAGATTATGGAGCAGGGGGGGGCCACGTTCACCAACGCCTTCGTGACCACGCCCATGTGCTGCCCCTCCCGCTCCTCCATGCTCACCGGGAAGTATGTGCACAACCACAACGTCTACACCAACAACGAGAACTGCTCCTCGCCCTCCTGGCAGGCGATGCACGAACCTAGGACGTTTGCCGTGTATCTGAACAACACCGGCTACAGAACAGGTAAAGGGGGGAGCTTTCTGGCCCGGGGCCTCGGATAAAACACCTTAGACACAGGAAAATGCAGCTCCCCATGAAATGTAGGAAGATCCGGTAAGTTCCCAAATGGGAAGGCTGTTCTCTTCCGTATCATATCCTTCTCTCCCCTCACCTTTTCACTCTGAAGGATGCTCCAAGGAGAGGCCCCTTAGAGAGAAAACAGAATGATTCTCAGGGGACATGTTCTGAAAATGTTGTACTCAGCAAAGTGCCCAGCAATTGGAATTTTCCAGGAGAGCCTACAATAGATGATTTTTTTCCCTTCTCCTTTGCCTGCTTACCTCAACCTCCCCAATCTCAGGGCATCATGGCACAGCCCGAGACTTGTTTTAGATGTTGGTAAACTTCTGTTGATTGTTCCTCGGGGTCTGGCAAACAGTAGATGATCACAATCACTTAGTGAATTAATAAATCATTGAATGAATAAATCAATGATGTGTACTTTATTGATGCATTTATTCATTCCTTCATTCATTCATAATTTAGTAAGATTTGGAGTTTCTTTAGCTTCAGTTGCAGTCATTTTTAGGTCTCAGATGTTCCCCTTCACCTTCCGAGGAAGGAAGGCAATTGCTGTACCGGCTGTCATTGTTTAACCTACAGAGGGCAAGAGGAAGGTTTGGGTTAGTTGACCTTTTGAAAATTGGGGACCACTTTCAAGAGCGGTCATAAGCATCATGCTAGTCTTTGTAAGAAAGAAGCGAGGCTCTTTCTAGTAAGGCTGCCTGCCCCCACCCTCTACAAAGCCTTTATACCTCCACAATTCAGATGCTTTCAGCATTTCTTCATGAACGGAAATAAGAATGATTCTAGAGGGGCTACCATGCAAAAGAAATTTTTCAGAACCACCTATCATTAACACCTATTGGAAATTATTTTACAAATTCTCTGTCCCAAATATTTAAAAGTAAAGGATTTCAGATAATGTGTTCTGTTAAATCTCTTCAAAAAGTGAAATGAATCTTTCCCACTGATCTCAGGAAACACGTGGCCATTGGCTCCTCTGCAGAGCACCCCGTGGGCACTTAATATTTTTTATTTATGGATGAAAATATTCATTGTGAATAGGACAGCATTGCCATCCGCAGACATTTCAAGATTGCCGCTCACAGAGGAAGCTCCTCCAGGAATCTCTAGGGTGTTTGCTTATGCTTCGGAAAGAAACTAGGTTACTCGGAGTGCCTTATCCTGTTTCTCACATAAGTGATTTAAATTTATAGCACCTTTCATCTGAGAGCTCTGAAGCAATTTGCAAATCCATCAAGCATCCCTGTAGGGTTTTGTAACCAGCAAATGTACTTGGCTCTGTTTTATAACTGAAGTGGGGATTTCAGAAACTGTGTGACCAGCTCAGAAGCAAAATCAGCAATGGTCCCCTAATGCCTGGTTCCTGATTTGAACCGTCCAATTTTGTTTCGTTCCTGGAAAGCGTTGTGTGAGATCAGGGCCTCTCATCTCCCAGGCTCCCTATAATTTTTTCCCAGCAGCGTGCATACAGCTTGGAGGGTTGGGACTCTCAACATATCCAGAGCAATATGGACAATGTCCGTGATAAGTAGAGATGCAGCGTGAGTCAGAGCATTCTACAGGACTGAGAGCAGCCAGCGAGGGTTTGCTAATTTGTTTCAGGGCTAACCCAGGAGAGGGAAAACAAGATAAGTTCTAGAGGCATGGTATACAGCAATGTGACTGTAGTAGACAATATTATACAGGTACTTGTTTCACTCATGCTCTGCTGTATCCACCCCAAAATGGGTTGCAAGAACGTGAATGAAACTCAGAGGTAATTTAGTTCAGCTCCCTTAGACCCGTGGTTGGCAAACTGCAGCTCATGAGTCACATGCGTCTCTTTGACCCCTTGAGTGTGGCTCTTCCACAAAATACCACAGCCTGGGCGAGTCTATTTTGAAGAAGTGGTGTTAGAAGAAATTTAAGTTTAAAAAATCTGGCTCTCAAAAGAAATGTCAATTGTTGTACTGTTGATATTTGGCTCTATTGACTGAGTTTGCCGACCACTGCCTTAGACCCACAAGATTAAACTGACTCGCTGAAGTGACACATTCGATGCTCTAAGTCTAATGGGAAGGAAGACCAGGTGTCAGGACCTTCATCTTTGGGGCTCTTTCCGGTGTGCGACTCTAACTTATGGGTTCGGTCCAGGATGAAATTGCACATCGTAAGGCTTTGCCCATGACAAGTGTCTGACCTTTTGTTCAGCCCAGCAGGCCTGCTTCATTCAGGGATAGGAGATATGTTCTTGGAAACTAAGACAGATTCTGAAGCCAACCTTCTCCCCGGGGGTCCAGACACTTAGGTAATAGTGGAATTTATAGTGAGTCATCCTACAAAATTAAAGGCAATTTTTTTTCAAGGGTAACAAGGACTTAATCCAGATACTCAGTGTGGAAAACAAGTATTGATGTGTCCATTAGTAAATCAGAAAAATTATAAATGGAAGACCAAAATGGCAGTGATGGGATCTACAGAGTTTAAATTTATCTTTGATGGGAGCATATTGAAGTGTCTGAGACAACTGTGGACAATAATTATTGATCTAACCAGGGACAGTGACACATTTGAAAATAAACACATAAGCATATCAAGATGACAGGCTCCTTAGGAAGTTAAGAGAACTGGTGAGTAGGCATTAAACCAGCATAATTATTCATGAGCCACTAGACTAGTCGGAAAAGAGCCAGCATATAAAGATTTTATTGTTGTCTTAATAATGAATATATTATTTGGAACATTTAGCTGAGAACCGAAGAAAAATAATGATGGAAACTGAAATATGTATTAGACATAAATATCCATCGAGAGAAAAGCACAAAGCAGCAATTAGATTTACGAAGAACAGCTCAGAGAAGACAAATTACTAAGAGGTTTATTTTGGGAGGAATCCAGAATACATGGATTTAAATGAATCGAATTGATCCAATATTATATTTACTGTTGTATGACATGATTTTTCTTTTTCAGAACTGAGGCATATTTTTGGACTGGCTATAGCCTAAATTTTTCTAAACTTACTCATGGAAAATATGAGTCCACAACCGCTTAAATGTTCGAGAAAGGGAAAATACAGTTACATGTCTATTGCGTTTTATGTTCTGACAAGTGAACTGGGAATGACATTGGATTATCGATCATAAAAATGAATATCCTGCCTGACTCTATGCTCAAAAATTTTTTTAGCTTGCATTTCTTGCTCGGGTATAGACATGTGTGTGAAACCTGGCCTAGTTTTAAGGTAAAGGTGATAAGCCATGTTTCAAGTGTTAGCAAAAATCCTGAACAAAGATTGAGCGCACCTGGAGTCACTTCCTAGCTCATTCAGCCTTTTCTTTGTTTTGAGAACTTGTAGAGAGGCAAGTTTTTCAACCCACAAAATGGAGAGATTGGACAAGAAGGGTTCTTAAGTTTTCTTTCCTGTTCAAAATCATGCTGTCATCTTATTATGACCACTGCAGTTATTATATTGATTCATTTAAAAATTGTAGTGTCCAAATTATAATCAGAACACATTATACATGAAATCACATGAGAATTAATTTTAGTTTTAGTAATTCTACATATCACTGGAATACAAAGGGCAATATTTAACAGATCTGCAGGACAACTTTTTGCAGAATATTCTTTTGTAACAAAACAACATTCAAATTAGTCAACTTTTCTAATTTCATGTCTTTTATGTTATAAACTTTATGTTACTTATGTTACTTCTTTAATATAGGTTTTGTAAAGGTAGAGTTCACTTAAAGTAAGGCAAACTAATATTCTTCTTATGAGTATATAACATAAGACATAGCATTCGCCAAAATTGGTTTGGCTCAGTGGATAGAGTGTCGGCCTTCGGACTGAAAGGTCCCAGGTTCAATTCCCGTCAAGGACATGTACCTTGGTTGCAGGCACATCCCCAGTAGGGGGTGTGCAAGAGGCAACTGATCGATGATTCTCTCTCATTGATGTTTCTAACTCTCTTTCCCTCTCTCTTCCTCTGTAAAAAATCAATAAAATATATATATTAAAAAAAAAAAAAAAGACATAGCATTCCACAGTATGCTCTTTATTGAGGCACCACATTCTTAGAACTTCACTAGACACTGGGATGGGAAGAGATATAAAATAAGATTGCTGCCTTCATTAGACTTACAAAATTGGGGAAACCAGATGGGTTAACATAGAGGAAATCATAATTTTTACTTGGTTTAAAATGATGTGTGTTACTAGTTACGACTAGTGAAATCCTGTGACCCAAATCTATCTGTTACACAGAGTAAAAAGGCTCAGTTAGTATATCATTTTTTTATATTGAATAAGATTTAACTTCTCCATAGCATCAGAAATCTTTTGTGTAGTTACTATGGCTGACTTAAAATAAATACCTTTGCCCTGGCCAGTGTAACTCAATGGTTAGAGCATTGGCCTGCATACCAAAGGATGAGAGGTTCAATTCTGGGTCAAGGACATGTACTTGAATTGCAGGTTCAATCCCAGCCCAGTTGGGGTTTGGGGGGAAAGCAGCCAATCGATATGTCTCTTTCACATATTTTTTTTTTCTCTCTTCCTTCTTCCTTCATATTATTATTATTATTATTGATTTCAGAGAGGGAGAAGGGAAAGAGATATAGAAACATCCATGATGAGAGACAATCATGGATCAGCTGCCTCCTGCACAACTGTGGGGATGGAGTCCACAACTAAGACATGTGCCCTTGATCAGGAATCGAACCTGGGACCCTTCAGTCCCCAGGCCGACACTCTTATCCACTGAGTCAAACCAGCTGGGGCCTCCTTTCCTTTTACTCTCTCTAAAAACCAATAGCAAAAAATATCCTTGGGTGAGGATTAACAATAACAACAATAGTAATAATAATAATAAAATAAAATACCTTTGCTCCAAATAGCTCAAGGAAACTTTCCTATGTATTATGGCACAAATAGTCCTGGACAGAGAAGCGTGGCCTAAAGTCAAAGGTAATTATAACCAAGTCTTGGTGATCTTTCTCCTGGCACCAACAGCCGTGAAGGAACGTGTGCAGTGGCCTCCCAGAGAGACGGTGATACGGAAGGGCGGGTCGGTGGCGTGGTGGTGACGTAGTCAGATAGCACAGCAGTGAGGGAAGTTGAATGCCAGCACCAAAGGGGAGAAAAACTTCAAACTCCCCATAACACAATGGCAGCATGGGCAAGAAAATGAAATTCACCTTCAGGAGGGAGGAAGAGATTTAAAACATCTGGAGGGAAATCATTAGAAGGCCAGATAATCAATTGCAGAGTGCTGCCAGGGGTGATTACAAATGAGTCTCGACGTCAGGAGGCAACAGAAAAGGCCGGCGTCCCTGGAAGCTGCCAACACTGGGGTGTCGCTCCGTGGGGTGTGAGGCCCTGGCTTCTTGGAACAAGTGTGACGGGTGAGGGCACATCTGGAAAACTGGGTACATTCCTTACACCCCATTAACACAAAGACACCGAAAACCTGGAGGGAGTTCTGACGTGACTGACAAGCACAGTAAAGAGACTCGTAGAAATAGTGTGTAAGAGGATGAAAGGGTAGGAAATAGCCATGGCAATGGGTAGAAAACAGCACAAAATATTAGTAGTCTCTCGAGGGAAACAGTGAAGGAAGGGCTTGGCATGGCTGCTCTGCGAGGGGGGGAAAAACACACACACAAAAAAGTAAAACTAAGAGGAACAGGAACACTTTTATAACGCATGGAGCAGGGGAAAGGAAGCCAAATGGGAGAGAATGTGTTGCCACAAAATCCATCAGATCCGAAAAGAAAATATTGTAACCTCTCAGGAAATGTTTTCAAACGCACAAGTGCAGAGATCTAGGACGAGAGTTGCTTGCGCCACGGAATGGTCAATTATTTACCATCGGAGCACAGATTGGAAAGGATGGCAATGACAGTGATGCTAATAATAACAGCAGCAGTAGCAGCAGCACGGAAAAAGCTCTTGTTATGTGCCCGGCCCTGGGCTGAGCACTTGATGTTTGCATTAACTCATTTAATCCTGACCAGAATGCTGCCTCTGGTACTATTATATTATCATCTTCATGGTTTTAGGAAAGGAAGTCGGAGGTAGAGTTAAGTAACGCCGATGGACACTGAGCAAAGCAAGTAGCAAGCCAGGACTGGAACCCCGGCAGGCTGGCTCCAGGGTTTATATCCCAAACCATTTAATGCTCTTTTACTTCTTTGAAAACCAAAGGAGAGGAAAATGGAACAAATGGAGCTGGGCCTGAGGTTATTAAGTGGAAGATTCTAGAAACAGCCCCCTTCTGGTGTGACGTCGTTGGACTGTGGTGTCGGTCGGCTGCCTGTGACTCCAAGTCATGTTGCTTTCGTCGGAAAAGGAAGCTCATCTTGTGGTTCTGTGTGAAAAGGTGGTTAGTCTCTGCAGACAAGAACCCGTCATTAGGAGAATTCCTACTATACGCTCAGCTGGGAGGGAAATCCTGAGTCAGACCTGACGTGAGAGCCTCTGACCCTTTGCCCTGCCCCCTGGAAGGTGCCCGGGACCCTGGCAGGATCCTCAGGCTGTGGGCGTTTGGTTAAAGGGCAGCTTGATCCAGTCACTCACTCACAGATTCAACAGGTAAACATTCACTCAACAAATAGGTAGACATTGCCTTGTTCCTCAGACTGAAGTCACTCTTAAAAAAAACAAAGTCAGTCTGAGAAACATCAACTTCAGCAACTGTGGAGCTCTATTGTATGAAAATATTTAGACCAAATCAGCGTCAAAAGTATAACCCATCTGAAAACACAAAATGGAACCTGTGGAATCCCCAGAATGCATGGGGACCCATAAACCCCAGTCCAAAAAACAAAACTCACGGAGCCCCTGTACTACGGGCAAGGATGGAGGGGGAGAATACAGAGACGAGGCCAAGGTAATGCTTGTCCTCAAAAGCCTTACAGTCTAAGAAGGGTGAGGCTCACCTATGAACTTGACTCTACCACTGGGAAGAAAGAGATGTCGTTAGAGCAGCAGACACAAATGGCTATGAGATTGGGGCAAAGACCAGAAGTGAAGTGGCATGTGCTCTGACCTTGACAGAGAGAGGGAGATGAAGACAGTAGTAGCCCAGGAGAGGTAGGGAGATGCAAACCAGAGCTGCAGAGAGGGACGTGAGCTGAGAAATGCAGGTGGACTTGAAGAGAGCATGGTTTTGTGCAGACCCAAGGAAGGCTGAGGGTAGCACTCAAATCAAATTAAGCTGGATCCTGCAGGTGGCAAGGGTTCATCTAGACAGAGACTGTGAGAAGAGAGTCATGTGACCAAAGCTGGTCTTCAGGAAGGTGGTGCTGAGAGTGGAAAGACCCAGGAGCCTGGCAAGCAGAGCTGGCCAGGAGGCTGGGCATCTGTGGGGGGAATCACATAATCAGAGAGGGAGGCAAGGTTCGAGAGCTGTCACGCAGGGGGAACCTACAGGCGGTGGCGACTGCTGGGCGAGGCGCAGGTGTGATCAGGGAAGGCTCTAGGTTGCCAAACATGTTACCCAGCAGGGCGATTATACACTCAGAGAATTAAAGGGTAGCGGAGAAGTAAATTTGGAAGGGAAAATGATTAATTCCATTTGGGTGACTGCGTTAAAGGGAAAGTAAAACATTCAGATGGAGATCATCTACAGGTAGTTCCAGATCAGAGATGAGAGCAAGGTAAAGAGCTATCCCTTAAAGACACGGAAATGGCGCACCATAGATAAGATGATGATGGAGAAATATGTGCTTTAAGACAATACCAGGGAAGTGCCTGGATTCTAGTGTTTGTTCACATCCCAAGCCAGTCATCCGAGAACTCCCTATTTTCATTGTGTAAGAGAAGGCGCCTGCAAAACCTGCCTAATGAAGCCGGGAAGTGGCTTTGGGAAGGCAGAGGACATGCTCTCTCCATAAATTAAAGAGGTAGGCCTTTTAAAAATCAGAAAAATTAAAACATGCATGCATGTGTGTATGTATGTATAATATAGATGGGTGTGTACACATATACTTCACTGTACACATTTGTATTCCCATATATACATTTACTAGAGGCCCAGTGCATGTAACTCATGCAGTTAGGGGTGTCCTTCAGCCAGGCCTGCACCCTCTCGCAGTCCAAGAGCCCTCAGGGGATGTCCAGGCCTAAGCTATTAGTCAGACTTCCTTAGTGCTGCTGCGGAGGTAGGAGAAGCTTGCCAGCCATGTGTTTATGGGATGTGCCAGCCATGAACCCAGCTTCTGACTGAGTGGCACTCCTCCTTTGGGAGCGCACTGACCAACAGAGGGCAGCTCCTGCATTGAGCTTCTGCCCCCTGGTGGTCAGCACGTGTCATAGCAACCGGTTGTTCTGCTGTTTGGTCAATTTACATATTAGCCTTTTATTATATAAGATAAAATAAAATGTTCTCTAGTCTTCATACTTGAGGGGAAGGCTATGTATGTGTCTAATAGGGTGATCAAACACTTAGGTTTACCCTGAATAGTGTGCTTGTTTTTATTGGTTTTCCTGGTGTGATTAAAACAGTTACAAGTGGCACCCTCTTTCTCTCTCAAAAGTGTGCCAACAATACACTTCTGATCATTAAAAAAGGGTGTCTGGCTTCCAGATCGAACCCATTTAGTTCCTGAAACCCCAACCTACCTAGCTCTCCTCTTGCCCCCTCCAATCATCGTCTCTGGCAGAGGACCTGAAGCATGCTCCTGGTGTGCTTCTCTGAAGGATCAGTAAGCCTGTGGCAGTGGCTTTTCTTGGATGTGACATGTGAAGTTAAAATGTACAGCCCTTCCAGTGGCCTTCTCCATGAGCAATGGAGAATTCATGGCACCAATACTTTAATCGGACTGTCATTCTATGAAAGTTGGTCACTTATGTAGCATCTCTATGTTGCCAGAATTTTTTATTTTTGTTTTGAAGAGAGAGACATGCACTTTTGTAAAATGCACATACTGTAAACACAGATGACACAAAACACATGACACATGAAAACGGTGACCACATCCCATAAACACAAAGTATACCTCAGACCTTTGGTTTAGAACCATGGTTGGCAAACTGTGGCTCGTAAGCCACATCTGGCTCTTTGGCCCCTTGAGTGTGGCTCTTCCACAAAATACCACAGCCTGGGCGAGACTATTTTGAAGAAGTGGTGTTAGAAGAAGTATAACTTTAAAAAAATTGGCTCTCAAAAGAAATTTCATCGTTGTACTCTTGATATTTGGCTCTGTTGACTAATGAGTTTGCCAACCAGTGGTTTAGAAGATTTGTACTCTCTGGATATGTAAAAAGGACAAGCTTTTCAGTAGTGTTTCTATAATTCACAACGCTACAACAGTAAGTTAAGAAAACGTAATTTCATACAAGGACTGAACTTTCACTTCTCCAATATATGTGTGCCCAGGGGTAGCGTCCCATGCCTCACACCGGCTGCTTCTCTGGTTGTTACATCTTCTTGACAAAGGGGTACGTTCTGCTGGAACCCCAGGAAAACCACAAGAAGAGCTAAAACCCAGAGTACCATGATCGTTATGGGGTTTTATTGAGTTACAATCCATGTCTTTGGGGGCTACTTTTATTTGCTCAAAAGGAAAATGTGTTTATGTCTGTCACTTAGCCAAAGGATTGGGGTATGACACTAACATTGTTTTGACATCCACTGCCCTAGGTTAACTTTTCTTCTCCCGTCTCTTTTTCAAGCCATCGTTTCATATTTTTGCATTTATACATTTATTTATGATTAATCATTTCACATGAGAACATAATCTTTTCTTTTTTTCTCATTGCAGCCTTTTTTGGAAAATACCTCAATGAATATAATGGCAGCTACATCCCTCCTGGGTGGCGAGAATGGCTTGGATTAATCAAGAATTCTCGTTTCTATAATTACACTGTTTGTCACAATGGCATCAAAGAAAAGCACGGATTTGATTATGCAAAGGTAATTTTCAGGCGCTTTTACACGGCATCAATTTACTGTGTGCATAATGGAGAACAGCCATTTCCAGCAAATTAACCTATCCGCAAGATTGGCTTTCTATGTTCTCACAATGTTAGAATGAGAAATTTTAAGGTAATTTTAAACTCCAGGCAAGGAAAGACTCTCAAGGAACACTGACTCTGTATAGTGACTTTTTCCCCTCATTAGAACACAAGGCAATCAGCCTTTGATGAAAGGATCATCAGGAAAATCATAGATGCCTCCACTCAGTCTTGTGATAATTTTTGGTTTCCCTCCCACACCCAGAGAGGACTTGTCCACATAATCAAACCTTCATCTTGGTACTGTTTTGCTTTTCCCTGGGATGAAAGTCAATTTTACCTTCAGAGTTAGATGTAAAAACGAGAGCAAACAAGTGGAATAGTCAGAGGTCGGGGACCCACACGCCTGAGACTCCTGTCTGACCAACCTCAGCGATGAGACCAGGGCACCTGCCCCAGGGCAACTCGTGTCCAGGAGTATCTCTAAAGCTGTCCATCCTAGGATTTCCACATCAGTTCCTAGAAACTGGAACTGGCGTGCCCCACAGCCCCCTAACAAACAGATCCTATTGTAGATTGGACTTGAAAATTCCCAAGGGTTCTGTGATTGCTGGTGTAAATGAGACAATTTTCAGATCACAGGAGTGAAGGGGGGAAATAGCTTTGAATTTAGCCTGCTCATTGGCTTCCCTTCCGGCCATACTCACCTCTTCCTCATTTCCCTAAAAGAAGCCTCGAGTCTGCTCTATGTAGCACAGATCACTACCAAAGAGCCGCTGGTAGAAATGAGGAGGCGGGAACTTGGTGTAATTCGGGCACATTGCGGCCTTGGTGCTCGGCCTGATTCAAGCACCATCAATAAACATGGATGTGAATAAACATTTGGGAGGAACTAAGGTGTCAGTCTCCTCTTTCCTGCCCTTCGAAAACAATGGATGCAAATGAACTCACAAACATCCCTAATAAGTTTCCAGACTCATCCAAGCTGAGAGCTAGCCAGCAGGGACCTCCGAGGCAGATCCGAGCTGCATCCTACAACCTGCCCGGGTTGTCACCGTGCTCATTTTTTATCTGTGGGGATGCTCTCGTGCTCCTTGTTCAGGCGATTAACCTCTCTCTCCCCGCTGTCCTAAGGAGACCGATGTAATCTAGATTCCCTCCGGAGACTAAATCAGCGTAACTTGCCCATTACCACAGCCCATTAAGTGTCAAAGACAACTGTGTCCAAAAAGAATATATATCTTTTTTTTTTTTTTAAGCGGGGAAAGGAATGAGACAGACACTCCCACAGAAAAAGGTGCTAGCCTGTGGGCTTGTCCTCACAATGGCATGTGACACAGATTCCGTCCCCTGGGCGCTGCTGTGGCAGCTGTTCCGGTCCTTAAATCTACACGGGATTCGTCATGCCTGGGAGCCCGGCCGCTGCAAACCTCGCCCGGGCACTCCCTGACTTTCCTGTTGGAACTCCAGGCCCCTGACACACACTTAGCGAGGCAGGTGGTTTAATTTAAGTTTTCATCTTTTCTTCCCTTTTCGTTCCCTTCTGGACTTGCCTCAGCCCCTGGGACCGGGGGTTAAGTCATTTTATTAACACCAGGCTCTACTCCCAGCAGCTGTATCATTTTAGCTGTGCAATTAACGGAGGGTAATCTGCAGGAAATCAACTGCTTCCCATATTTAGTGCTTCGAGTACATTAATTAATAAAATGTTACAGCTTTTCCTGTGCACCCAGGTTTTGGCCAAGGTTTCCATTAGCAATTATTGTATCATTCCTACAGGTGAATTTTTAATTTAAAAGAAAAGATCTTTTGTTGGTTTGCACTCGTGTGCGTGTGTGTGTGTGTGTGTGTGTGTGTGTGTGTGTTCTGGAACTGTGAATGTGTAGTGGGTGTTGGTGTTTCCTGCCCTTGAAGTAATTAAATTTTTTGTCAATGGATTACATCAACGAAATCTGAGAATGAAATATGTATCCGGTGTTTTATGTGCTCTAGCATTTGGGTTGCCAGATCTGATCATTATCTTGGGCAAACAGGACTTGACTTTTTTCTCGCCTAATTGCTAAGTTGTGCATTATTTAAAATACATATTACCTCGCTAGTGACCCTAGAAAGTCCCTGGCAACTGACTTGCCGCCTTGGGAAGTCCAGGGTCCCTCCCCGCTTTAGGCCTTACCCCGTCATTCAGGGAGTTGCTTCTGAGGAACGCAGTATTCAAATGTGATCTGATGAATGTCACCTCTTTGTAATTTCTGTTTTGTGTCAAATGTATGTTTCAGGACTACTTCACAGACTTAATCACTAACGAGAGCATTAATTACTTCAAAATGTCTAAGAGAATGTATCCCCATAGGCCCATTATGATGGTGATCAGCCACGCAGCGCCCCACGGCCCCGAGGACTCGGCCCCACAGTTTTCAAAACTGTACCCCAATGCTTCCCAACACATGTGAGTAATACCACCGGCTCCGGGACCTGCTGAGCGTGGGCTCTCCTTTGCTCCTCACCCTGCTTCTCTCCTCACCCCCTTTCCTTCCACAACACCAGCTTGGGACAGGCCTGCGACCAAGGGCCTCGTCTGGGCAGTCTGATTAGGGACCCCGTTTCTAACCTTTGTAACTTGCTGAAAGGAAAGCAAAGAGGCACACAGGGTGAAGGAGATGATTTTTATCAAGCGTCCCCTTCAGCTATCTTAACATTCGTGAGTAGCGTCTAATAATAATGATGACCCAACTGTTTGCTTTGCATAGCAGCGGAGTGGTGACCGGGTCTGGGTATAGAAACATGGGTCATTTTCCAGAGAAAACTGTGAAACAGTGATTAGAACTGCGCCAGAAAGCAGCAGGCTGGGCCTTGCCCAAGAAAGAGGTCTGCCCAGGCCACAGCTGTAAGATAATCCACTGTTTCTGTTTGAGAGGAGGGGCTGGGGAAGCATGGAAACTGGAGGGACCCTGCAGAGAGCAGGAAGCTGTGTGATGCTGAGAGTGCTCCGCAGCCACGGGTGGAAAAGTCTGGGTGCTTTGGCAGCAGAGAACCTGGTTTGGGTGTTGACTCTGTGGACACATTTTCTTCCTACCTGTTGTGATAACACACAGTCTTCCCCACAGAGCCTCTGGCTCGGGGTTGGCTCCAAGTTTGGCCCGCAAGGAGGGTGGGAACAGTAATCGATATATGTGTATCATTAAAGCTCAAAAGTTGATTCTTACTCTGCTTGTGCTTAAATACCAATCTTTTTATATCCACGCTGATGTTCTAGCCGTGATCCCGGACAAAAAGAACATAGATTGGATGTGCAGTTGACCTGTGGGGGTTAGGGGTGCTGAGCACTGAGCAATAGAAAATCCATGTATAGGTTTTTACTCCCCCAAAACCTAACCACAGTGTCCTCTTGCTGTTGGTCCCAGGACACCTTCCCCCACTGTGGAAACCAAACTCTGCTCGAGTCCCTTCCATAAAACGGGTAGAACAATGCTTACAGTTGCCTCTCCACATCCACGGATTCCCAGTCACGGACTGAAAATACTGTTTTCGATCCACATTTGCTTGAATCCATGATGCAAAGCGCAGGGATACAGAGGACCAACTGTGTATCTATCGCATGAGTGAACCAGTGCCGTGTCGTTCAAGGGCCAACTGTACTTCCTGTGTAAAAAGAGGAGTAACTATGAAGGCGCTCTAGTTCAGGCATGTAAGAGGCAGCCAATCAGTGATTCTCATCATTGATTTGTCTCTCTCCCTTCCTCTCTGAAATCAATAAAAATTTATTTTTTTTAAAAAGAGGGGTGCCCCAGCCCCTGGGGAGCCACTGTGTTTTGGAACTGACCCTGTGGATGGACTTGCAAACCTCTGACGATTTTCCCTACATGTAACCATTGTTTCAAAGGCAGGAGGGAAGCCCATGCGTGGCGAGCGTCTCCATGACAAAGTTAGGGCCCAGCTGGTCCAGTGAAGGAAAATGGACTGTGCGAGGTTCTTCCAGCGCTGGGACCCACTCTCCCTTTCCTGCTGAGTCAGACATCATCCTGTGGGATGGCTGCCTTTGTGGCATGAGCATTAGTCAGCCTGAGGTGACTTTGTACACCTATAAATGTTACCGGTGTTTTCTCAGATTTGAGAAGGGGTTCGCAAAGGGTTTTGTGGCTCCCTAGAGTCCCTGTCTTTGAAGCTCCAGGCTGAACCTACAGGAAAGTCGGCCACAGGTCAACAGGTCTGTCTGGCAGTTCAGTGTCAAGACGTCGCATGGGGGGAGACGTCTGCAGAGTTCTCAGGGCTAAGAAAGCATCTCTGATTCCAACACCTAAAAATTCTATGTTGTTCCACGGATATGTATGAGTGCCACTTGGGACACTCTGCTGCACAGCAGATAGACCTGAGGAAGATACAGTTGTTGACACTGGAGAACCAATAAGCTCAAACAGGGATTGGCCCACTGGGGCCCGAATCCGGCTTGCCAATAGTTTGTATGAATAAAGTTTTATTGAAGCACAGCCACATCCATTTATTTAGGTACTGTCTACGGCTGCTTTCATAAGACAACAGCAGAGCTGGGTAGTTGTGGCAGGTACTGGGTGGTCTGGAGTGCCTAAAATAGTACTTGCTATCTGGTCCTTTACAGAATAAGTTTGCCCCAGATCCCTGCTCTAGGCAACTGTCCAATGAGCCACATCACCAGTGGGACCAGAAGTGGTAAGGCCTCAGAAGGGGGCTATGGAAATTTTGAGGAGGATGTGTTCACATCTTTTGGGGGACCCGGGAAAATGCATGGGCCAGGAGGCATCCAAAGTGGGCCTCAAAGGATAACATTCCTGCAGCCAGTTCTACAGAGCGGGCTGATGATTTCAGAAAGAGGATGGGGCTCAAACAAGTGGTCACCACGTAAGTGAGGTGATCTCAGATGTGCCTCAGGAAGTGGAGTATGGGTTACAAGGAAAGCAAGATATGGGGAGATAAATCTAGAAAGGGAATGAGCAGAATGTTGAGGATAACTGTAAGCAGACAGTCACTGAGGATTATTTAGTAGGGTGGTGGCATAATATCTGACCCAGTCATTTTTACAATACATGGAATAGTGTCAGTTATTCTTTAGTTTAAATGAGCAACCTGTAAGACTTATTAGTGAGTTCACAAAATGAAATCTACACATGGCAGAGGGAAGAGTGTTCTGATCTTAAAGGCACACAGAATGGGTTCCCATCTCAGCTGTCCTCACTAAGTCTGGGAGCAATTTATTTTTTTAAAAAAAATTTTTTAATCGATTTTCTGAGAGAGAGGAAGGCAGAGTGATAGAGTGATGGAGAGAGATAAACATCAATGTGAGAGTGTAACATCCATCTTCCATTAGCTACCTCCTAATGCCCCCACTCCCCAACACTAGGGACCGAGCCCAAAATCCAGGCATGTTCCCTGACCAGGAATCAAACTAACAACCCTTTAGTGCACAGATGTCTCTCAACCAACTGAGCCACACTGGCCAGGGTAGGGGCAATTTGTATAACCTCTTAGAAGTTCTATGGTCTCATCTACAAAATAGGGATAATATTAACACCTTGACCTGATGTCATGCATGAAAATCAAGAGAAGCCGCATAGCTAACATCCCTAGATAGGGCCTGGGGCATAGAAGTCACTTCATTGATTTTAATTCTTGTGGATTCTTTCTATTAAGATGAGCCATATAACACTGCTCTTTCTTTTTATTCTTCATTGATTCAGGTATTACATAGTCTCCTTTTTCCCCCATCGACCTCTCCCCAGTCACTCGCACCTCACAGCACATGCCCTCACCCTCCTAGTGTCTGTGTGCATTGGTTATGCTTATATGCATGCATACAACCAAAGGACTTGAGTGCATGCACATAAACACCGCTCCTTCTTGACCTACAAAAAATGCAATCTTATTTGGTTCAACTTAATGTTTAGGGGAAGCACTGGAGAAATGGCTGATTGATACTTGCCCATTGTGACGTGGCAAATCTCTTGACTAGCTAAGACTCACACTGGGGTGCGCCTCCCGCACCTGGCCATCCTGGAAGCACAGGCCACGCTCCGAGATGGGCTGTGTTACCACTTCCAGGTGCCAAACCCGCACTACGGGCAGGTGCCTGTTTGGAGCTCAGCCTTAGCTGCAGAAAGTGAAAATCCATGTAGGTGGTTGAGTGACTGAGCTTGTACCTGCTGCTCACCTGTGGGGTTTGGGGTCCCTCGTCCCCACAGGCCTTAGGGCCTTGGGTTGCTGGTGTCTTTGTTGCAAAGTTCTCCAGGCTGCCGCGGGGGCAGGGGCTGGAGAGAGTCAGCGTGCGCGTCTTGTTACTGTGAGTGACCGCACCGGTTCACAGTTCCGTCCACAGACAAAGGGAGCGGGACAAATGGAGGACAAGCTGCCATTTGGGGTGCATGGGGCTCCTGAGTGGCCGGTGTCCTTGGCGCATTAGCAGCACATTGGAGCGAGGGGCTGGCAGCAGGGACGTCACTGCGGAAAGCAGGCCCGGGACCACAGAGCAAGGAACTTAGACTGATCCCCACGCTGGGGCCCACAGAATGCGGACGCTGTCCTTCTGGTCGCCCTCCTTGGTGGTTGGCATTATTGAGACGCCTTTTGGCTGGCTTTGGGTGATGGCTCAGCCCCGAGCCAGTGCATCACGTTTGCATAGTGCTTGCCGGTCCCAGTAAAGGACGACGCCAGGCCAGCACTGGCTAGTTGGCTTTGCACACGGAGGCTGGAGGCTATTATGCCCCTCGGGACGGAGGCACTGCTGAAGCAGACAGCACCCAGCCGCTCCGCCTCCGGGACATCTGAGGGTGCCATGTCATCACAGCACACAGAGCCCCCTCCATTACAGAGCCCCTCGCTGTGGCTCAGACCCTGTTGTATTTCTTCAGTAAGTTCCCTGGCTAGTGTCCTCCGAGGAGGGCCGTACCTCACTCCGGCTTTGACGTAGCTTCTGGCCCCTGGCCTCAGGGGTGTCAGGATGTGCATCTGTGACCGGGAGGCTCCACTTTCCGAGCTCCCTTATCCCCTTCCTGCCACCGATGTGCCTATCAGCCTAAGACACTGTTGTGTGGGTTTCAGTCCCACGTTCTTTGTTCCCTGGGCACGTGTGGCCGTGTGTGTGAACGCACAGGTTCAGGCGAAATCTCCCATCTCTGCAGAACAGCCCGTGTCCCCTCAGGTGCGAGAACCGCTCTGAAAGTGGAGCTTTCGGCTGAGCACAGCGTGTTAGATGGGAAACCATCGCTGTGTAAGCCTCCAAAGTTTCTGAAACACCTTTAGGATCTAAAGTTGGGGGAGGGGGGGGGGGAATGTCTTGCCTTAAAAAGAAATGGCGCATTCTCACTTTATTTCTTCCACAAATACGTAAAATGAAATTCTTTCAAAGATGAGAGCATTTTGAATCCTCTATAAAAATTTCTGACTTGGGCCAAACTAGTTGCCCACCTTGTTCTCTCCATC